AAAAACTTCATCTGTTAGTATTTTGTATGAACTCTAGCAAAGTAGTATAGGAGCTTACACAGAATTTTTAGTCTTTTTCCTCATTTCCAGAATGACCTGTTCTTCCTACTTCTATCTTCATGGATAACTCTAATGTCATCTCTTCTTTGCAAATTGTTTTAATTTTCTGCATTGCCATCTCTGTGTATGTGTGTGTGTGTGTGTGTGTGTGTGTGTGTGTTATAATTTATGTCAGACATGGGGCTTGCACTCAGGGCCTGGGTGCTGTCCCTGAGCTCTTTTGCTCAAGGCTAGCACCCTACCACTTTGAACCACAGCATCACTTCCAGTTTTTTGGTGGTTAATTAGAGGTAAGAGTCTCACAGACTTTCCTACACAGGCTGGCTTTGAACCAGGATCCTCAGCTCTCAGCCTTCTCTGTAGCTAGTGGCTCATCCCATATTTTTTCTTTCTACTACAGTGTGTTTTATATTGTTTCATTATCTATCTCTTGAATCAGATTGTAAATTCCACAGAGAGAAAGCGCATAATGTCCATGTTTGAATTCTTAGTCCCTATCTTAATCTTGTGGGATGAAAGGACGAATATATATGAATGGATTGATGAATAAACATCTTGTTTCTCCTTCAAATGTCATGCTCCCTGCTGCCCTCTGGTGGCTATTTATTCTCCCCTCTATCTAAGGCAGACATGGAAATGTTAATATTTAGGTTGCTCACAAGTCCTTTGAGGTCACTCATTTTCTAGTTTCTGCAAAACTTTCATCTCCTGCATTATTAGTAACATACTCACCTATAGTTATTACACCCTCTGCCAACTTCCTGGTCATTCTCATTTATTAGGAACTTTTGTACCAAGATGAGAGTCTTTCTCTAACTTAAAAATGATATCTGTTAAACTCACATAGATCAGGCTTCTCAAAAGCAAATTCACTTAGGCCTGATGTTTTATGCCTATAATCCTAGCACTCCAGAGGCTGAGGCAGGAGGAGAATGATTTGGAAGGCCAGGAAGTGAGCTTGGGTTGCCAAAAACTGACTAAAAATTTCTTGTTCAACATTAACATGTTTATCTATAACACACCTTAGGAATTCATTTTTTGCCACATCCAAATTTGAATATCAAGGCTGATAGTTAGAGGATGAAGGTTAGAGGTCAGCCAAGGCAGAAAATACACTAAAGTCCATCTCCAATATAACCCACAAAAAGTGGAGCTGGTAATGGAAGTATGGTTCAAGTGGTAGGTCATCAGCCAAGCAAAAGAGAGATCCTGAATTCCAACCTTGTTACTACCATACACACAAAAAAATCTCTAAATACTTGGCCCTTTAGTATGCCATACAATAACCTCCTCCTGTTAAAAAAATAAAAAGATGGTTGAATCCTAATCCGCAGGATTTACAAATACACTGCTTTGCTTGACAAAAGATACTTTCTAGACATTAAGAATCCTTACACAGGAAGATTATCCTGTTACAGGAGATGACCTAATGCAATCCTGAGGTTCCTTGTATGGAGGCAGGAGGGTCAGAGCTAGAGGAACAAATGTCACAACAGAAGCACAGGTTGCACAGGTTCTGTAGCTCTGAGCCAAAGAACGCAGGTGGCCTCTGGAAGCTGGAAAGGGCAGGACACCAGATTGCCCCTTCTAGCCTCCAGAAGGAACACCACTCTGCCAACCCGCTTTAGACATCTAATGTGCAGAACTGTCAGAGAATAAATCTGTGGTGCTGCCAGTAAATGACTGAAAATTCGATAGAGCAGCAACAGAAAAGTAATAAGGAGCCAATAGACAAATCTCTACTCATGAACCTTCCTCTGACTCACTTGCTCCATTTCTCCCAGTACATTTAAATACTGTTCTCACAACGGCTTGTCACTTTCCTGGCTTGTTTTCCTTTCCCAGACACCTAGCCATGATGAGTTTCAATTTCATCTTCTCTCAGGATGTCAAGGTGTTAACCTTACCGTGTCTCCTCATCTACTCTGATATCCCCAACAACAGGCCAACCTCAAGCTTGCTTCTGTCCTACACAAGTTACTAAACATCTTAAGGGAGGGGACAACCCAACATTCTATGTTGGTCCCACTGAAATATGCCGTCAGTCATTTCAGAGGTAAGATCCAAGATCCTCAGTCCCTCTGTTCCCTGCACTGGTCCTTAATTCACATTTCTTATATTCATCGTGGCAATAATTCCACTCTACCATCCGTTCTCTACTGACGTGGCCCATTGCTGAACCTCTTTTTAGTAAGTTATCTTGCCTTCAGTTTTTAAGAGAAATTGAGACATAGGCTGCTTCCAGCCTGGCCTCTTGTCCTACATCCCTTGCTCTCACTTCCCCTGCTCATTGTTACTTATATGCCGATGCCTAGAAGACAACTCTCTCTTCTGTGTTTTCCTGAATTAAAGTTCTTTCTGTTTTCCAATGTAAGGATAAACTTCTATGAGGTACACAATTCCCCAGTTGAGCTCCCTCTTTTGTGTCTCCATTTTATTGTGTTTATTTCTGATGCAACTACCATCATACATCACTTTAAGCATGAGATAATGTTTATTCGTAATTTTCTATGTATGTGCTTCTTCTTTATCTAGACTGAGTCCCTTGTGATAAATTGCTGTGTCTTATTTGTCTTGTTACCCTTAATACTCCAACACTTTGTCTTCAATGTTTCAAGAAATGGTAAAGAAAGAAGAAAAGAAAGAAGAACCTATCAAGAAAGTGAGTACTATGACCAGCTAGACAGCCTCTCCAATGCATGAATGTGCACGTGCACATGTGCGCTCACTACACACACACACACACACACACACACACACACACACACACACACACACACACACACACTACTGCACATCAGTCAGAAGTCTCATCTCCTCCAAGTGGCTAATTTGTTTGGAGAAAGAGTCTTGTCCCAGACCCCTGGGCAGAAAGTCATACCCATCCAAATAGCAAATGCACTGGAATGTCTATCAAATTTGCTTCAAAATCAGGAAGACAGTCTTGGCTATTTCAGTGCTCCACACCATCTGTTCTGGTGGCATAATGCCCACTTACAAGGTCAGTCTTTACTGCCCTGAACATTCCAGAGCTATGGCAGAAGAGTAAACTTTCTCTCTGAGTTGCCATGAGAAGTCCTCAGCAGAATCATTAATCCCTCCATCATTCACATTTTCCTATTTCATTTTTCAACTAGATGGCAGGGATATTTCTTCATCTTCAAAAGTATTCCTGAGAACAATAGATCTGGCCAAGCAAAAGGGGGTGGAGGTCAGTGTCTTCCTTTCAGATTTCCTTTCCCTCGGAAGGAATATGGCAATAGAGTGAACCACAGAAACATGGACAGGCATCCTGGGAATTGGGGGAATATGCCCAGTTTGCTTAGTGGATACTTGGATCCTAAATCACACCATTTTCTTTCTAAGTGCTTTGTCATTAACCATGCCCTGCACCTAAATGATTTTACATTACAAATTATTGTAATGGAGATGAAAGAAGCCATAATACCCTTCTGATTGGCATATTTGGAGGTTGGAGTTTGCTTGAAGAGTCCTTTAAATATCTAGGGAGTAAATGTGCTACTTATGAAAAACTGCTAACAGCATAGGGAAGTCTGCTTTGGGAAAATGATATCCACCATGTGTTGTAAATAAAAAGACAGAATTCCTAAAGACCAAGGTGAGAAAGGAAGCCAGCCCATTTCTTGCCAAATAGACCCAAGCATTTCCACACTGGTCAGTGCTCCTGTCTGACATTCAACCTTCCTGTAGGTAACTCTGTTTTTGTGTAGACATCTGAAAGAAAATTTATTAACACTGGAAATAGTCAAACACACAGAGCTTATTCTAAGCCAAGTACGTTAGAGGTTTAACCAAAACTGTGTCTCTAACTTTGGTTTCCCATACACTTGAGAGGGGAAAAAAGGATGGATGTAGATAGACACTCTCATCCTTGGAGATTCAACACAAAGGCATCTTTCTCTATGAGGTACCCATAACCACTGCAATTCACAGAAATATTTCCTTCCCTGGATATCTTTAAGGTTTTACCTTTTCTGTTATTCCATACTGTCTCACTTTGTTGAAAACCCACTGTGTTCAAAGAACTTGTTTCCTGGCCACAAGGGCATGGAGGGCAAAAATGGTGTCTATTTCTCCTCTTGACACAAAATTATAGGTGCTTCAAATATTTTACTACTTAGGTAGTGCTGTAGGTAGTAAAGAACCTCGGCTCACAAATGTGATATAGTCTATGAAAAATAAGGAACAAATTTATCTCTGGTGTGTTTAACGGATTGTCTTTTGTGATTCCTGAGAACAAGTTAGGTAGGATGTCTGAGTGAATGGTGAAATCTCTCAAGCTAATAGGATTAAAATGACCTGGACTAGTTGAAGACAGGACACAGACAGGATGCATTGTATACATAAACTGCAAATGGCAAAAAGAAAAAAGAAAAATCTGTATTATCATAAAAATTAAGACAAGGTGAGGGAAGGGGTGAGTTGGGAGGGGTGGGCGAGAACATGGAAAGGGGTTACACTAATCGTGCTACTCATAAACTGCTTTGTTGAGTGACAACTCCTTGGTACAACTAAAGGTCATAAAAATATTCAAAAATAACACTAGACTAGAGAAAGTTTGCCTAAGCAGTAAAGGGTTTTTAAAACAAATATGCAACAATTAGGACCTGAACGCGTTTTAAAGGCGCTGCACTGGGAGTCTGAGGGTCTTGCAAAGGGCCCGCACTGGGAATATGTTTTGCGGGTTCTTAGCCCAGGTGGCGCGCGCTCAGCTTCAGAGAGAGAGAGAGAGCAGTGCGCGCTCCCGCCGTCACTCCGGCTCCTGCCCAGCAGGGGGCGCTGGTAGCGCCGCTCCGCCCGCAGCGCCGCCGCGTTCCCAGCAGGCTTCGCTCCCCGCGGGTCGCGACCCGGAAGCTGTCGCCGGCGGCCGGCCGGCCGGCAGCGCTGACAAACAAGAGTTGGAGGTGTGCGGAGCGCGGCGGTGGCAGGGCTGCCGGGGGCTGCGGACCGCGGCGGTCGAGCGGGTTCCGCTTCCCCATGAACCCAGTCCGGGCGGGGGCTCCAGCTGGGCGCGCGAGCCGGCGACGTGTTCCCGGGTCCCGTCGGCGTCTGTGAGTGTTTGCGGGGGGCCCCAGGCCCCCGCCTCCTGAGGCCCGGGACCAGCTCTCCGTCCGCCCGGCCGGTATGAGGGCCGCGGGGTTCTTCTGGAAAGCGACGCCTCCGCCCGAGGCCCCTGGTTGCCCGGGGCGAGGCGGGGCCGCGGCCGCGCTGGGCCTGTAGGACTTGCGGAGCCGGAGCCTCGCCGGTTCCCGGACCAGCACCCCACCCCACCCCGGTTTCTCCTCGCCTCCTCCCCGCCCCCCGTCAGCCAAGCCGAGAGAAGGCTATCGTTCCTGCCAGCCACCAGATCCTTCCAGCCATGAGGGCAGACACAGTGCCGCCCGTCCAGGAGCCCCCAACCCAGCCCAGCAGGATCAGCCCCCTGTGGAGGAGCCGGAAGCTGTTGATTGTCGGCCTCGTGCTGGGCTGGCTGCTGGTCATCTATCTTCTGGTCAACGTGTGGCTCCTGTGCCTCCTGTCTGCCTCCCTAGTGGTGCTCGGAGGATGGTTGGGCTCCAGGGCCATTGTGGGGGTTTCAGGCCGATTGCACCTGGAACGCTTCATCCTGGTAGCTACCAGTCCTCCATGCCCCGAGGCGGAGAGGCAGTTGGAACTGGAGATCAACCATACCATTCAGATGATTATTCGAGATTTTGTCTTATCCTGGTATCACTCGGTGAGCCAGGAGCCAGACTTTAAGGAAGAGATGGAGGCAGCCATGAAGGGGTTGGTTCAGGATCTTCGGAGGAGGATGAGCATAGTGAACAGGCATGCTCTGACGCAGAGGGTTTTGACTCTCTGTGGTTGTCATCTGCAAAGCTACATTCAGGCCAAGGAGGCCACCACCAGGAAGCAGAATGATCCAGTACCGCCCTCCCAACTGTGGGAGGCTTACTGCAGGGCTACTGTTCCACACCCTGCTGTACATAGCCCTAGTGCTGAGGTCACCTATACACGTCACATAGTGAATGTGTTGCTTCAAGGGCTGGTACCCAAGCCTCATTTGGAAACTAGGACTGGACGTCATGTAGTAGTTGAACTCATTACTTGCAATGTAGTCTTACCACTGATTAGCAAGCTGTCAGATCCTGATTGGATCTACCTTGTACTTGTGAGTATCTTTTCCAAAGCCAAAAATGCAACTCAAATGACCAAACCGCTCTGCCCAGGCAACACTCTGGAAGAGCCTTCAGTTCCCACATCATTGCCATCTGTTGTTGAGGCACAAAATCTGCCAGAAAGAAGAGCCCCTTCTCCAGTAGTAGCTCCAGTACTCCTAAATTTCAGTGATCCAGAGGTTGAAGAAGGCCATGAAGCTGTAGAGGGAGATTTGGCTGGGATAGTTGAAGAAAGGAAAGTAGAAAGCGATTCATCTCATTTTCTACAGCCAGATATTCGAGGTCCCCTTTTCTTATGTGAAGAATCAGAGTTGGAGTCTCCACTGTCTGAACTTAGCAAAGAAACTGTTCTGCTCATAACACAAAGTGACTTCCTTTCTGAGGGAATCCAAGATGCCTTGCGTGCCCTACAGGATTCCCAGGCTCTGGAACATAAGGATGGTGAGGGATCTGATAGCATTGAAAGAACAGAGAGTCCACAGATAGAAACAGAGACAGGTGTGATGGTCTCTATGCTGAACTCCTGTCCAGAGATCCAGATTGACACTGCAGACAAGGAAGTAGAGCAAGGGAATGCTACCTCTCTTATGTCTTTGATGGAGGAACCTGAAAAGACATACCCCTTACGACCTTCATGCCTAGAGAAGGATCTCTCCAATAGTGTGAGTTCTCTGGACCCTACTCTGCCATCCATTCCACTTTCTTCTTCTCCACCTGGTCCTCTCAGCTCAGCCACCTTCAGCTTTGAGCCGCTGAGCAGTCCAGATGGCCCAGTTGTTATCCAGAACCTTCGGATCACTGGCACTATTACTGCCCGAGAGCACAGTGGCACCGGATTTCACCCATACACGCTTTACACCGTGAAGGTAACAGAAATAGAGCTATGGTCACCCAGTGGGTTTGGAAAGCAGCCAGTGAAGCTAATATTCTTAATGTTAGACAATAAGCATCTTTCATGAGTGCTGTGTGTCTAATATGTAAGGTAGAGAAGGCTCTTAACCTAATTCATTCAAATAGTCCTAGAAGTTCCAGGTTGTTGCACCTCAAAGTCATTTCAGTTGGGTTTTAAATGTGGCCATTTTTGTAGATTTGGCATGAGAATTTGTGGGCATGAGTCTCAGGAGTCAGGTTTTTGTGTTTTAGAGACAAGATGCCTCACATGGCACTCCATGTTGTGTTTTTTTTTTTTTTAATGATTCAAATAGTTGTACAAAAGGATTTCAATTTAACATACCTATTTGTGTGTATACAAGGCATCTTGGTCATTCAGTTTTGTACTTTTTTTTTTTTTTTTTTTAATGAAACTGCCATCCAATAGAGGCAGCCTGGCCTAAGGCCATTTTACGAGATCTGCACTAATCTAACCAGACCTCTTCACATCATTTCTGACAAGTGGTTCTTAAGCCTATGATTAAGCACTTCCAGGAATAAGAAACTTGCTATATTCTGAGGTAAATAATCTACCTTTCCCAAAGTGCAAAAGGTGTTAGTGTATATTTTTAAAAGGAAGAAACCTGTGGGGAAGTAGTTTGGAAAGTGAATTCCTGGGCAAGACCGTGTCTTTTGGATTTTACTTGCCTTGAATTTCTCTCAGTCCAAATGCTACCACTAGGCACCGCCTAGAACTACACTCCTCCCAGTAAAATCCCAATCCAAGTAAGAAGGAAGGGGACCTTCCTTAATCTGCACAATGCAGGTACAGTATGATCTGGCATTTTGAAAAGGTACATGATATTTTCAAGGTAAAAAAGTAGAAGTAATTAGAAACATACTTGCATCCACATATACATAGGACATACATTCCTTATGTAAATAGAGAAATTTTAGAAGTATAAATGTCTTGTCATATATAACTCAGGCTAGCCGTGAATGACTTGGTCTAACTTTGCTAACACTTTTCCTGCCTTTTTCTTCCCCTAGTTCTAGGTGCTCCTCTAACGTGTACCTTTTTCATTTACAAAACAAGACTTCTGTGTATTTCATCTTCCATACATATTCCAACACTGGTATTAAACAGTTTTTGTTGCATTAGCAGAAATATCAAACTGATTCAGAGAATGTTTTTGACCATTATTTACTCTTTGGTTTTCATTCTTGTTAAACTTTGACACTAGCTACTTGCTACTTCAAATAGGCATTAAAAAAGGAAAAGTGAAAAATGTGTCAGAAAACAACAGCCAATTGTGTATAGTGTAAAATTGGTTTTTATATGGACATATGTGGCCACACGTGTAAATTAAATATCAATATTGTTACACTTTCTGATACCAAACCAGCTTTCGGTTTACAGGTGATAGAGGTGAGTAGACCAGGACTGGATACTGTCCATCAAGGAACAGAATATTTCACAGAAAGCATTAGGACTCCTAGGTATTCAAAGCTTGAGAGCCCTACCTTGAATTCCATCTCTCTTTCCTCTTCAGTGCTAGCTCTTTATCAACAGCCCAAGTCCTGCAAACAAGGAGTTAGCTTTTTCTATCACTTACTACAGTATAATAACTCAGCCAAACACTAACAATAACTCCATTGTATCTCAACTATTCTGACAGAAAGTTATCCTCTGTGCTTACTGGAAGTTTCCATATTGCTCTTCCAGGAAGTTTAGTATAAGTCATCTTCCCCATATACCAGCCCTGCAAACATGAAAGCAACAGATGCTGACTCCTTGCAGTATCTTCAATCATGACAGTACCTTTAATGATACAAATGATATATACTTTGGAAATATTTTCAGTTTAAGGGCTGGAGTATAGTTTAACTGTTGCACTTGCCACGCATGGAAGAGACCCACAAGTGCTGGGGATGGAGATGAGGGGGAATCAGTTTAACAATAACATTAGGCAGATTAATCTTCCAAAAGCAAAACAAAAACACATGTCCTTTTAATTAATTCCAGACAAAAACTGACTTCTGATTATCTTCTGTTTGAGATTGTTTCTTCTTTCCACCACTAATACAGAACATTACTATTTGAGTATAATAGCAAAGTGATTTTTTCTTCTTAAAAGGTCTAGCCTGTAGTTTGGCATAATAGAAGTGGTATTATCACCTCTATAACAGAAAATTCTGTTATCTCTGTTATATTCAGGCTTTGGGATTTGGAAAATAGTTAGGATTGAATGTCTGTGGGAGAAAGCATTTGAATGGATGTAATGGTGGAGAACAGTAAACCTCGTTTCTGATTTTCTAAGCCATATATATCAGAAAGTGCAGCTCATTCCTTAATTCAGCTACATTTGGGTTTTAGCTCTTCATTACAGCACAGTTAAGCAATCAGCTTTACTGATTTAAGGGACTTCTTTTGTTGGTCCTGCAATAGAATTAAAATAGTTCTTTCCCTTTATACAGTTATTGTATAGTCATTTAAAAAGTCATTATTGAAGCCAAAATAGGAGACTGCCTAGCTATGGCTGATTTGGTCAATAAATCTGTTCCTTCACCAGTATGAGACAGCCCTTAATGGTGAAAACAGCAGTGGCCTGCAGCAGCTGGCCTACCACACTGTGAACCGCCGCTACCGGGAGTTCTTGAATCTGCAGACTCGTCTGGAGGAGAAACCAGATCTACGAAAGTTCATCAAAAGTTAGGAGTTTCCCCAGTCCTGGCCTGCTTGCTTGCTTTTCCTATCTAGCCACCTTGATTTTACTTCTTGGTATCCTATAAGTTGGTGGGGAGGAAAGTACTGCATTGAGTTTCTCTCTTCCCCAAATTTGCTTCAGGAGTTGTAAAGGATTAATACTGGGTCACATTTTTTCTAGGGTCTTCTTTTGTTACTAAATGCTTTCTTCTAGTGCCTCATCTAGTTTAAGCTTAAAAAAAGAAGCATTCACATTTCTGCTTATTGTCCATAACCTAGAATGAGGAGTTAAATTTGCTTTTCCAGACTCATAGATAGATCAATCTTCAATATGAAAATATTGTCCAAAAATCTTTGTTACTTTCCTTTTTGTGTACTCTTTGACAGCTTTTTAAGGCAAGAAAATACTTAATTTGTATGTTGTTTTAAAAAGTCAGTGAATTCCAAAATAAACAATTTTATGTTTTAGTTTTCTTCTAGGCATTTTGCATGTGTTAGTTTACTTATCTTCATAAAAAGCCCATGAAGTAGATACTATTATTTTCTCTTTTTGTAGAAAAAGAATGAAATCACAGAAAGATTATGCATTTTGCCTAAGGTCATTATTACAGTAGAGATAGGAGCCAAAATTTAAATTTGGGCTATTGGAGTTTGGAACCCTCCTAGCAGTTGTACTGCATGTTCTGTGAATGTTAATAAAAGCAGATAGTATACATCATATCTCTGAGATATGTTTGAAACTTCTGCAATATAACAGCAATCCCAAGGGATAATCATTAATTCTATTTTCTTTATAGTTTAATAATGTTTATATGGAATAACTAGGACTTACATGAATGAATTTGTTTTGTTTTGAAGACGTGAAAGGTCCTAAAAAGCTCTTTCCAGATCTTCCCTTTGGAAACATGGATAGTGACAGGGTAGAAGCCCGTAAGAGCCTCTTGGAATCATTCCTGAAGGTTAGATCTGGTGTTTTGGCTTTGCTTTAATTCTCATTCCCCTCCCTCCCTAAGCCAAGTGGGGGGATCTGGGAACGTGAATTTTACTTTTTATTAAAATCTCCATATTCTAGAATTTTCCTTACTTTTACAGCAACTCTGTGCCATTCCTGAAATTGCCAACAGTGAAGAGGTGCAAGAGTTTCTTGCTCTGAACACAGATGCTCGTATTGCCTTTGTCAAGAAGCCATTCGTGGTCTCTAGAATAGACAAGGTAACCACAAGGCCACTGTGCTCAGCTTATATTTCTGTCTGTCAGTGCATTATTTACCAAGCCAATACTTAGAAAATAGAAATGGTGCATAGAAGAAACATAAAGGGGTCAATAGAATATGGATTAGAATTTCTAAGACTTAGCAAATATTTGTCGAACCTTCAATTTACCAATCACAGTGAGCAGCTGTTAGAAAGTAGTAGCCCTGACACTATAAAAGTATGCACATATCTCCTTGGGGTATAGCAATAGTGTTATTTTAGTGGAGGCATGTAAAAATAGATGTAAGCCTTTAGCGATAGGTAAGGTAAGGAGAGGTTCTCTTCTAGAAGGAAAGCTCCTTCCCGGCCCTAGTGTTAATCATTCAGGAAATAAAGCCCTAAGACAAAACACTAAGCTGAATTCCTATTGGTATAGTGGTTCTCTGCTGAAGAAGAGAATGTGCAGAACATTTCACCTTTTTCAAAAGAGTGTCTCAGCAACAACTGTAGAGATGGTAGAAGTACATATGGAATGTGTCAGAGCCTATAAGCTGTGATTCCCAACTGATACCATCATTGTCAGATCAGAAGGCTGAGGTTTGTGTTCATTAGAAGATGGTATGTGTTTTATAAGTTCGGAAAATACTGGCTGGCCAAAGGCCTCCTTCTTATCAGTGCTTGGGAGGACAAATTAAAGTGGAATTCTGTGTCATAGATTCAGAAATGATCCATTGCTATATAGAGAAAAATTACAAATTAGAGGTCAATTACATAAAAGCCCCAGAGTTCCATGAAGATGTGTTCATTCATTGATTCTTTCAGTACCTCCTTACTGGATGCCTGTTTTAAGCCAGGCAATGTACTAGTCTCAGAGAGGCAGAAGTAGATGAGACCCTCCCACAGACAAGAATTTTGTATCATTTAAGTTACATTCTGTCTGTTCCTGCCTTCCTGTGTTTCTTCCCTGGAGACTTGCCTATAGTCTTCCTGTCCACACAGCCTCATCTTCTCTGTGCTAGCCATGTTCCTCATGGAGGATTGCTACAGGAATGACTTCACAAAGGCTTGATGCTGCTTTGAGCCAGCTGCATTAGTGACAAGCATCAAGGAAGAAGATTTCTTTCCATTTCTTTTATATATTTCATTTTATAACTAATATCTATATGTGATTTTTCCATTCTGAGAAATAGAGATGAGTCTTATTCTCAATGAAACTTTTAGGTTTTTTCTTAATTGGTAGTGAAGTCTGTACCAATTGTAGATAGGTTAATTTAGGTCTGCTTGGTTTTTATTCTTTCTATATACTAAAGAAGAGAAGTTGTTTGATTTGACTGGACTAGATAAGTCAACTCTTTGCTCTGTGTGAATTACTCTAAGCATGTTTATATTATTTATGCCCTGAGACTGTATTTTTTATTTTTCATAATTTGCTTCTCTCTTCCTTTTTCCTTACACTATACTGTCTATAGACTGTGTGCGTGCATGCATGTGCAAGTGTGCACACACACATACATTCAGAGCACTTGAACTCAGTGCATCTAGCTCTCATTTGCCTTTATTTTGTTTTAACGTTTAACGAATTTATTTTAGAATAACTGAGTTAAAGAAGGAGAAATGGGAATAGAGAAACATTTTCTGCTCCCTAAACAGGATATGGGAGTTAAAGACTTAAAATGGTGGCTCCAATCTATAGCTTTTATACTTCCTAAGCAGGGCTTTCTTGCTTACAGCAGGTGCTGTACTATTTGAGCCATACCTACAGCTCTTATTTTTTAATACTTTTTTATTGTAAAAATACTGTACAGAGGGGACATTTACATGAGCAAGAAAATGAGTATATTTTCTATCAAGCATTGTTACCTCCTCCTTTATTTTCCACCTACCATCCCTTCCCTCCAACCTCCACAACTACACTCCCCACCCCCCCACTCCCAGCCTAAATTGTAAAGCTCATTTTTCAACATAGTGTCTTGTACATCTCATTATTACAATGGGTCCACCTGTATCCCTATTTAAGCATTTTGATTTTTGTAGATTTGTTAGAGCTTGAGTTTCCAGCACTTTTCTCAAGGGACTTACTTTGAAACAAGATCCTCCAGATCTCAGCCTTTCAAAGTAGCTAAGATTACAGATGGAAGCCACCTGCACCCAGCTGAGGATTCATCTTTTTTAAGTAAAAAGAAAAGGTTGAAAATGAAAAGTACCCATTAGCTACAGAACTCTCTAAGTTTTTATTTATCCCTCTGTTTTGGCTTCTTTTCTCAAGGCATAGTTTTGTGTTATCCTATAAGGAAGAAGGTCTTTATGGCCATGGAGGAAGTATATTGTCATTAGCTGATATTGGCTTTTCCTAATGGATAAGCCCTCTGTTCATCCTGCTGCATAAAGCCCAGTGAGATAACTGCTTGCTGGCCTTTCCATGGGATATGAACACCTTACTGAATCTGTATCTCTGATCCCTGCAGATGGTGGTAAGTGCTATTGTGGATACCTTGAAGACAGCATTTCCTCGCTCTGAACCCCAGAGTCCTACGGAAGAGCTGAGTGAGGCTGAGAATGAAAGCAAGCCCCAGACAGAAGGCAAGAAGGCTAGCAAGTGAGAAGCCCTTCAGTGGTGCAGGGACCCTTCCCCAGATCTCAGATTCATCTCCAGTCCTTCAAAGCCCTCCAAGAGAGGAGGTATTCTGTACATACCCGTTTTTAGGCAAAGCCTACCTCTCTTCCACAGAGGAGTCTGATACTCTCTAAATGCAGTACTACTGAGCAGTTGTTTCTGATATGGGAACCCAGACCCAGCTGACCAAGGGTTTTTGACGAGAAGGAAATTTCCCAATTCTGTGTATTCTCTTTTCCTGGGAAAATGAAATATTTCTTCCTACCAAGAAGTAAGACTTATTACCATGGACTTATTTGCTGTCATTTTTTTGGCTCTGAAATTGCATAAACTAGCAATGAACAGGAAAGGGCTCAAATGGAAGTCCATAGAACCTATTTCAGGTGTGTGTGTGTGTGTGTGTGTGTGTGTGTGTGTGTGTGTGTGTGTGTGTGTGTGTGTGTGTGTGTGTGTGTGTGTGTGTGTGTGTGTGTGTGTGTGTGTGTCAAATGGAAGTCCATAGAACCTATTTCAGGTGTGTGTGTGTGTGTGTGTGTGTGTGTGTGTGTGTAGTGTGCAATACCAAATCACAGTACTTAGCCTTTTAAAACTGAGTGTGTGTGTGTGTGTGTGTGTGTAGTGTGCAATACCAAATCACAGTACTTAGCCTTTTAAAACTGAGTCCACATTTGAAACCATGACCATAATGCCTATGTTTATGTCTTTTATTTTATGTTCTATGCCTATCCTGGGACTTGAACCTCAGGTCCCTGAGTTTTTGTGCTCAAGGCTAGTTCTACTACCTGAGCTACTGATCCACTTTCAGCTTCTTTGTTGGTTAATCGGAGATAAGAGTCTCACTTACTGTCCTACCCCAGCTGTCTTCAAACCATGATCCTCAGATCATAGCCTCCTGAGTAGCTAGAATTACAGGGGTGAGTCACTGACACCCAGCTAAGTCCTTCATTTTTGAAATATACATGTTATCACTTGCAGTTCCTCCTCTAGTGTTTGTTTGTAACACAGCAGGAACGAACCACTTTCCAAAAAAGATACCAAAAATAATAACAGATACAAGGTGCTGGTGGCTCATGCCTGTAATTCTAGCTACTCAGGAGTCTGAGATGTGAGGATTGTGGTTCAGAGACAGCCTGGGCAGAAAAGTCCTTGAGACACTTACCTGCAGTAAACCACCAGCAAACCACAAGTGGCACTGTGGCTCAAGTGGTAGAACGCTCGCCAGGAGCTGAGGGACAGCACCCAGGCCCAGAGTTCAAGCCATATGACCGACAAAAAAAATTAATGAAAATAGACCATCTTAGTATGTGCTAGCCATGCTGTGGGAATATAACCATGACACAATGTTCCTATTTCACTTAGCAAAAAATGCCCTTTTACAAGCGTACTATACACATAGCTTAGTAACAAAGTGGCACTGTCTATGAAAAATTAACTATATACTTCGTTTGGAGAATTTCAGGGCAAAGTCTTTCTTGGCAACTCTAAGCCCAGTAAGCTTCCAAGAATAGTGTTCTTGTTTTGATGTATTATCAAATATTTACCAGTCCTTTATATAGGGATCAAGACGATGAAGTACATTTTGCTTCTGCCCTTTGTTTCTATGCCAGGTCCAGACTGAGGTTCCCATCCAGTAAAATTGGTCCTACACTGAGTGTGACTGAGGAACATGACAGGATCCTCTATTGTTTCCAGGAAGGCAATGTGGTAAGAATCAAAGCCAAGAGAACTGCAGAAATCATGGTTTAGGTGTTGACACTACAGAGTTAAAGAGATTTGAGTATTCTCTAATATCAGAAAGGACTTAGGTATCCCACCAAAAGATTTAACTAAGATCCAGGTCTCATATTTTTATACTGAAAGCATTTTTTAAGTGCTTTGGAATTCTCCAGTTCTGGTTGGCAGACTGGCTTCTAAAGGAAGTGAATTTGGAATAATGAATGACATGATGAAAAGGAAAACCAGTTTCTAGAACAGGTGGCTCAAAAAATGTGAGCAGAAGTGATGATTCCAGAGCAAGCTTCTCTTAGTTGAAACTTGGATAAAGAATAGAAACTTTCGGGACTGGGAAAGTGGCTCAGTGGTAGATTGATTGCCTCCCATGCATGAGGCCCTGGGTTTGATTCCTCAGCACCACATAAACAGAAAAAGCCAGAAGTGGTGCAGTGGCTCAAGTGGTAGAGCGCTAGCCTTGAGCAAAGCAGCTCAGGGACAGTGCCCAGGTCCTGAGTTCAAACCCCAAGGACCAGAAACAAACAAAAATAGAAACAGTCCTAAAATAGTTACAGCATCATTAGGCTCCAAGCCCAAGGTCCTTCTGCACGGGAAAGGTGGGAAATGTGCCCTGCTACCTGTACTCCCCCTGCTCTCTGCATTCTTGATCAGATGTGCCACTGTCTGTTTCTTTAGGAGTCAGATACTCTGTCCATGTCTGGGATGGAATCCTTTATTGAAAAACAGACCAAGTTACTAGAAATGCAGCCAGCAGAAGCCTCAGGAAAAGATCCTGTATCAGTCCCCAGAGACTATGTGGATGGTTGCTCATCAGCTACACCTGTGCCAACCCAAGACCTCAACAATAGTGATACAGGTGAGTGGTGAGATCTTTTTATCCCCAGAGAAAGAAACCAAGTGAAGTCCACTAGAATTTGGATAGGTGACCTTTACAACTCTTAATTTCTCTTGTATTCAGTTGACCAGGCCATGACCATATGTTGGACTCCAGTATTAAAGATCCTGGGGCCTTGGGATGGGTAGGACATGGTCCCCAAAGCCAGGCAAGTGGCAGAGCAAAGCATGGACACAGAGAGTTATAATCCAGGAGGAAATGATCCACAGTATAATGTCACTGTTACTTTGAAGTTATTTTGGGCATATAGAACTGTTAACTTTATCTAGATACCTCCTTTCCTCAGTGTCTGGGATATCACTTTTCTGGTTTTCTGCCTATATTCTTTGTGATCCCTTTTTGTTTCACTGTTTTGGTTTCCTTATCAATCTTCTGGAACTTTAGTTCTGGCTCTCTGTTCTTACTTTGCAAAGCTCTCTGGTAATCCCATATTGTTGTCCTCTGCCCTCAAACATGTACTGATGGTACGTAACTGTTGCATATTGTGGGTCTCCACATGGATAGATCACAGAACAACAGAAATACAGCATGTTCAAAATAGAACTTATCTTTTTTCCCCAAATTCATCCCTTCTGCTTTATTTCCCGCTATGGCAATAACCCTACATACTATCTGAAGGCAGGGCAGGAAAGTGAAGTGTCAGACAGAGGCTTTACTTATTCCTTCTTACAAGCATTGAGGCTAAGTGGTTTTCTTCCCAGGAGAAGGGCAAATATTCCACAGAAGGTCAAAATGTAGGTATTAACTAGTATGCTTGCTGAACTAGAACTTAAAAGAAGAAAGCTGCCAGATGCCTGTGGCCCCACACCTGAAGCCAGCCTGGGAATTAAAGTCTGAGACTCTTATCTCTAATTAACAACCAAAAAGCCAGAAGTGGAGCTGTGACTTAAATGATAGAACACTAGCTTTGAGGGAAAAAAAACTCAGGACAGCACCTAAGCACTTAAGTTTAAGCCCCAAATCCAGCCTTTAAAAAAAGAAGGACACGGAGCTAATAATCACAAAATACCAAAATTATAAGAGAAACTCATTTTATTATGGTCTCTCAGGTATCCAAGAACAGATTACCTGAACTCTGTTCTATGAATCTAAATAAATGGTTTTTAATTAGGAAAAATGGGATTTGCAACCTCATTTCCTCACACATAACTCACTGATTAAGTAAATGCAGTGATAATGACAGTGAGAGCACCAGAGAACTCTTAAGGAATAATAAGATGGGATCTGTAAAACAAAACCATTCTAGTCAAAATCAGACTTTTAAATTTTTAGTGACTGATCTTTAAGGAAATAGTTTATCCCCGAGTCCTTCCTTTTTCTAGTCCTGAAGTATTCATATGTTCATATGATAGAAAATTTACTATTTTCTTCAAGAGAACTTTGACAATGCCTTGTTTTCTTTCTCATTTTTTTTACTGCTATGACTAAGTGTCACCACAGGGTGGCAGCTTCAGGCAAATGCTAAGACTAAGAAAACTCTAGCATTAAGGAGGACACTGTTCCCAAAAAGAAGAGAAGCCCATCATGAACAAATTGATCAGCTCCCACACAGCCCTGGAATACATTACCAAAAAGGAAGTATATATTGGATACTTTAAATGGAAGTGGGATTCAGTTTATTTCACCATGTCCATCAGAATCTGAAGTTATTCATGTTCTAAAATACTAGTTATAGAACTGGGTCAAGAATAGCTATTGATCTTAAACTAACAGTATTGTTGACAATTTTCTGTAGTATAAATAGCAGTAGCATGGTATATCAGAATCATTGTGAAACATCTGAAATCTCCCAGGAAACCAATCAGAAAGACTCTGAGCATAGGTTTAGAGAATAAATCATTAGGACTAATAAAAGTCTTCCATCCATAAAACACATGTGTTCAGGAAACTCCAGCTTAGCATAAAATATGAGCTCATAATTGGCCCTTCCAGATTTCCAAAGAGGAAAGAAATCAGTAAAGGTCAGGGCATTTTACCAGAGGTGTGGTACTCTTCCTAGAACTACATGTTATCTTAGAATCAAAATGAAGCCTCTTGAATTCCAGCCCCACCAGTGTAATGGAGATGGTTTTCAGGAGAATGAAGCCCAATCTTTCCTCACATCTGTCCACATTTCCATGATACATTGTGAGAGTAAATGGAAGGTCGGTGGAAAGGACAAGGCCTTGCCAGTTCCAGTTAGTCATAAATTGTGAGCTCTCACTTGGGACAGAATGAACTCAGCATCCTGAAGGAATATTGGGGAACAAAAACTAAACAGGTAAGTATATGTAAAATATTTTAAAAAGGTAAAAACACTAGTTACGATGTCAAGGATATAGAAAAACTGTGAAGACAGCTGGTGCTCTACTACTTGAGTCATGCCTCCATTTGCAGCCTTTTGCTCCCTTTCTTATAAAACGGTCTTACTGACTTTTCTACCCAAGCTTGCTTTAAAACTAGATCCCCCAGATCTCAACCTTCTGAGTAGCTAAAATTGCAGGGCTAAGCAGTCAGTGCTAGATACTTTTTTATTTGTTTTAGAGACCTTCTAAATAGAGTGAACATTTCTTGATTTCAGTGTAGAGGAATTACAAAAACAAAAGATGATAGATACAAGGTTAAGAAGACCCAGTGCATTAAAAGATATTCCTCAAGTAAGGGACTTGTGTTTTTTTTTTTTAATCCCTTAGGTACAGAGATAGAATTAGCTGACACAGCCTTAGATCTGATCCTCTTACTATTGATGGAGCATTGGAAATGGCTATGTACGGAAAACATGCAGAAATTTCTTCGTCTTATCTTTGGGTCCCTAGTTCAAAGGTAAGATTGCTAATTTCTTCACCGTAGATTCTCAAATTGCATATAAGTTGGATATCTTGCTCTGTAGAAAGGATGAGTGTAGGGTCTTTGGAACCTATTGGCTAGACCAGAGGGTAGATTCTCTGTTATAGGGGAACAGATGTGAAAACTGACTAAAGAGTATCAGAAAGCTTTCTTTTTCTTTTTTTTAATAAGTTTTTTATTGTAAAAATACTGTACAGAGGGGTTACAGTTATATGAGCAAGGTCAGAAAGCTTTTTAAACTACGCTATTGTTTAAAGTTTGATTGTGTCTGGTTCTGTAAGACTTCTGACATAATGCACTTAATTGTGGACACTGCCTGTGATGGTAAAGTATGTTAGCTGAACATTGCCTACTTTGGGATCAGTTCTCCAACTCTTTATATCTCCAAGGCTCTATACCTTTCACCTGTTACAATAAACACTTCTTAACTAACAGTGCATAGTCACTGTGATAATAATCAGTGGGAAAGACAAGTAGAAAACTGATCAGTGCTCTTGATACAATCAAAATTGCCTTTTCTAAAAAGGGCATAGATATTCACAACTGAAGAACTACTTACCGAAACAGAAATAGAAGTATAGAAGGAAACATAGATTTGCAGTTTGGCTTAATTCAGGTTTTGTGATCCCAACATGATTGGTAGACTTGTACATAGATGGAGGTTTTAGTGATTGACTTTTTGTCCCAATGTGAAAAAGGCTAGAGATACTGTCTATGAGCAATCAAAACACATGGTCTTATAAGGCAAGCTAACATGTTCTAAATTAAGGAGAAGCCAAATATTAACCATTTCTGTTAGATCACCCTATTGATACATTGATAAAGTACCTTTTTAAAAAGTATCTTTTCAAAAAATCCTCTACAAATAGAAAATTTATTAACAAGTAATCCAGTCTCTCTTCCCATACACAATTATATAGGATCAAAGAGACTTAACCCGAAATCATAGAGACTGAAAGATGCTGCACAGGGGGGTGTGTGTGTGTGTGTGTGTGTGTGTGTGTGTGTGTGTGTGTGTGTGTGTGTGTGTGTGTGTGTGTGTGTGTGTGTGTGTGTGTGTGTGTGTGTGTGTGTGTGTGTGTGTGTGTGTGTGTGTACACAATTATATAGGATCAAAGAGACTTAACCCGAAATCATAGAGACTGAAAGATGCTGCACAGGGGGTGTGTGTGTGTGTGTGTGTGTGTGTGTGTGTGTGTGTGTGTGTGTGTGTGTGTGTGTGTGTGTGTGTGTGTACACAATTATATAGGATCAAAGAGACTTAACCCGAAATCATAGAGACTGAAAGATGCTGCACAGGGGTGTGTGTGTGTGTGTGTGTGTGTGTGTGTGTGTGTGTGTGTGTGTGTGTGTGTGTGTGTGTACACAATTATATAGGATCAAAGAGACTTAACCCGAAATCATAGAGACTGAAAGATGTTGCACAGGTGTGTGTGTGTGTGTTTGTGTGTGTGTGTGTGTGTACACAATTATATAGGATCAAAGAGACTTAACCCGAAATCATAGAGACTGAAAGATGTTGCACAGGTGTGTGTGTGTGTGTGTGTGTGTGTTACTAAAAATTCTGCCCAGGGCCTCAGGCTTACTAAGCAACCTCTATATCACTTGAGCTTTACTCCTTAGACCTTTTCTTTTTCTTGTTTTTGAGCTAAGGTCTTGCTAGCTTTGCCAACCTGTACTCCAACTTGATATCCTCTTGCCACTGCCTCTTAAGTAGTTGTGATTTTGATTTTAGGCACGGGTTCCATTCTCAATCAGGATGAACATTTTTATTTGCTGAGTGCTTATGTATGCAGGTACCTGCCTCTGTTTATATATATTTTCTTAGAATGACCAAGTAAGATAGGTAGACTTAGTTTTTAGACTAAGAAAATAGAGGTTGGCAAATAACTTACTTACCTACCCAGGGTCATTAGTGACACACCTAGAATATTAAGCTATATTTGTATGAATACAAAGCATTGTGCTTTTTCCTATATATTGCAGACTTAAAACTAGTCTCCAAGTGAAACACAAATACAAAATGCTTGTTTTTCTCTGTCCTTCTGTGTTTCCCCCCTTGTCCTTTATATATATCAGTCCCACCATTAGAATGCTTTCACAGAAAAGTGTGTCTGAAAGATTATTTGCACTTAAAATTCTTTAGTGGTTCCTATTGCCTGAGTATTAGGCTTTCAGTAGATTTTGAAAGATTTAAAAAAAATGTAGCTGGGCACTGGTTGCTCACATCTCTTAATTGTAGCTACTCGAGACAGAGATCTGAGGATCACAATTCAAAGCCAGCCCAGACAGGAAAAGTCTGTGAGGCTCTTATTTCCAATTAACCCCCCCCCCAAAAAAAAAGCCAAAGTAGAGCTGTGACTCAAGTGGTAGAGCACTAGTCTTGAACAAAAGCACTCAAGACAGCACCCAGACAAGTTCAAGCTCCAGTACCAGCACCAAAAAGAAAAAAAGGAAACATGGTTTTTCCAGTATGTGTTCCAGAGTTCTAGGGTTCTACTGAAGTTCTTCAAAAGCCAACTTAGAACCTAAGTAGAAAGCTGAGAGGATCCTCTTTTTTGTTTCACTAGATTTAAGGTGTCTTCTACTTTCAAAAGTTTTGGCAGTAACACTTACCATAATTTTCTAGAGGACATTCTGGTCCCCAGGACATAGCAATATCTGGAGAAATTTTTGGTTGTCATAGCTTAGAAGAGAAGACAGGAAGCCCACTGGCATCCAGTGGATAGATGTCAAGGATTCTGCTTACCATTCTGTGCTCCACAGGATGGCTCTTCCCCCACAAACAGTTGTGAAGTGTATGTAGTACTGAGATTGAGAAACCTGGTCACAGACTAAGAGCCACAGCTAGCTTTGCATCCCCAGAAACATATAGAGTCTGGGCTTTGTGGAGATCCATTATATATTGGATAAAGGAATAGACATTTCCTTTTTCAATACCTGTATACTCTTTACATTTCATTCAGCCACCTATAAGTATTATTAATTAGGCCTTAATTTTTCCTCTCCATCTACTAGGCTTTGCTTTGCAGGTTTTTCAAGTACTTTAAAAAACTAGTAGGCTACCAAAACTAGGGAGTTCGTGATTATTGATGACCTCAAATTCTTTGCACATCATATTGGTTTCAGAGCATAAGAAGTAGCTCAAGGAACATAAAAGTATAGGGAGAGAGTAAAAAAAATGGAGATTTATATCAGAGAGAAAGAAGTTTATCTGAAGTCTGGATAACTCAGAACTAAAGTCTAAATAAAGAAGTCCAAGTAAATAAGAGAGAACCTTACCTGAGAATTATAGTAGGGCCACGGAAGAAAGAACTGGTAAATCATGTGGTGAACCACCTTGGAAATGTACAGAGACCAACATCCAACACAAGGGAAGTAAGCCCTGAAGGAATTACATATGGAAAAGACAGGCTCGTTTAAAGGTTCAAAGGTAGTCTGAGAAACTTCCAAGCCAGGGTGTAGTACCTCAGTGGGAAGTGAACAGAATATGAAGAAGTCATGCTCTCTAGCCTATTTTTTTACTTAATGGTAAAAATTGGTTCAGGGTATTTTGTAGCATCCATTGCACTTTACCTTAAAAGTACTTTCCTCTCTATATAACTAGGGAATTATTTTGAACTTATATGTTTAGTTAATTGGACAAAATGCTACGAAAAGCAGGTTAGTAATGTACAAAACAAACATAATCCCTACTTTTCTCAAATTTTACAGTTCTTACTTACCTACTGTCACAAAGCTAATCAGGATGGAACCAGCATTCAACCCCTCCAGGTGCCTCTGAAAAAAAGCTCAAATCCTTAGGGCCTAGGGTATACTCATATTCTTTGAGATTTGTTTTCTTCATCGGGAAAATTGGATTCATCATGCCGCTTTTCTCTTTAGGTAATATTAGAAGTTGTCTGCTAAAGGTTAGGCCTTAATATGTATTCTTTAGAAAAGGAGAAAAGGGTATACAGCATTTTGTGAGTCTTAATACCTCTAGCAATGGTTCCATATAATTTGTGTTTTATGTCTTTAATACCCTTACCCATACTAATCACCTGCTGTAAGGCGTCACATTCTGTCTTGTGCTTGTCTCTGAACTACACAGACTTGGGCTTTTAAACAATGAAGTCTTTGTGAGTCAAGATAATTTTGTGCCAGTGGGTTCATTGATTAAAAGCAACAACCAGAACAGTTGCAGTCTTACATTAGGAAAAAAAAGAGCACCTGGACCTTGTATGGTACAGACAAGCCCAAGTTCCGAAGTCCTAGGTATACTGGTGCTCCTGGTGAAATGATAGGAGGGCTGCTGGAATCCATTCCTAATAAGGAGAGCTGGGAAATCAAGCTAAGTTTCTCTTTTCCAGCTCCATCCTCTGGCAGTTGTACTAGATCAAGCTAGCTGGATAGACAATTTTCTAGTGAATGAAAACGGAAGCTCATGTCATAAATTAAATCAGAGAGGGATTGCTGCTGAATTTCCCCTGATTCTTTTTCTCATTTTTACTTTTGTTCTTGTTCTTGTTTTGTGGCTGTTCCTCAAGAACTTATTGTAACTGTGGTCACTTACACTTGTTTTTCACAGATAATTCCAGGTGATGATCATTTATATTTGTTAGGTTATCTCATATTGCTCCTAGCCAAAAACCTCGATTATATCTAATCATATTTTATATGTAGTTCATTTTGTTTTCTGTCAGCTGTGAAAAAAATAGAACTCTAGCTGATTGGCATTCCTTACCTTAAGCTTTCTCTGACTGGAGTTTAAGAAGGTCATCCTTCCCTGTTCAAAGCCTTCCACCTTGCCCTACAAACAACATTCCCATCATTTTCATGATGTTCATAGCTTCTCAAGAATCTTGTGCTGGCTTTACAGTATTCCAGAAATTTCCTTAAGATAGGAAGTGAGAAGTCATAGTATTTGAAAAAAGGAAAACTTGCCCCTGTATAGGCTCCAAGGATCTGACCTCCCATGGCCCTTAGTCTCATAT